AAGCATACCAACACACACATAGTGGGAGTCCCAGATGTGGTGAGTGGTAGAGAGAATACTTGAAGAAATAACGGCAAAAAACTTCTCAAATTAAATTTAAAACATTAACTAGCATATAAATGATGCTCAACAAACTCCAAATAGGATAAATGCAAAAAATTCCATACCTAGACACATAATAGTCCACCTTCCAGAAGATAATGGCAAAGAGAGAACTTTAAAAGCAGCAAGAGAAAGTGAATCATCATGTAAGAACATTTTGAAAGGACCCCTCAGGGCTAAAGGGAGTGCTCAATGAAGAATGAATTTGGAATGGGTGTCTAACTATAGAAGCTGGTATTCAATTCTCATTGAGGAAAATTGCCCACTGAATGGCAGAGAAGTTCACTGAGTTATCTGGATTAGAATTGGTCCACAATCCCTGGACAGAATCAAACAACCTTCCAGGATTCAGATGAGCAGAGGTTTGTGGACAGTCATGCAGAGGGAGTTGGGATGCCACTTCTAGCATGAGTATTTAATTGCATTGTATACTTTGGAGGACTTCAGTGAGGTGGTCACCAGATTCAGGCCAGAGCTGCAAGGTCACTGAGGCACTATGTGCCCTCTCTTGCAGCAGGGACAGCGTGCCACTAAGATGTTTCCTCACATACGTTCAGTTGACAGAAATATACTTTGCACACATATATTTGCTGTACAAGAATAAGAAGAAACAAAACAGCAGCAAATTGGACCAGAAAGAGAAGCACCCTTTTAACTTGCAATATCCCTCCAGCATCTAGCACTGAGAAAACTTAATATTATGCTCACTGTATAGGAGAAATAATTATAAAGAGTCCAATTCATTATAACAAAGCACATAGTGAAGAATAAATTTGTTTTCAAGAGGCAATAAATCGATAACTTGTGCAATGATGAGATATTGTGGTTTGATTTTCTTTGTGTTCCTTCTCTTGGGTTTATTGTCTTTATTTAATCTGATCCAAGCTCACTCTGCAAACAGATCTTGGATCTGTGGATTTAAAAATTTTTTATCAAATGTGGAACAGTTTCAACCATTACTTTTTTTTCTTTTATTGGAATGGAGTTTCACTCTTGTCTCCCAGGCTGGAGTGCAATGGCGCAATGTCGGCTCACTGCAACCTCTGCCTCCTGGGTTTGAGCAATTCTCCTGCCTCAGCTTCCTGAGTAGCTGGGATTACAGATGCCTGCCACCATGCCCAGCTAATTTTTGTATTTTCAGTAGAGACAGGGTTTCACCATGTTGTCCAGCCTTGTCTTGAACTTGTGACCTTAGGTAATCTACTGGCCTTGTCCTCCCAAAGTGCTGGTATTACAGGCATGAGCCACCATGGCCACCCTCAATCATTACTTTTTCAAGTGTCTCACTTCGTTTTCTCTTCTTCTTCTGGGATTTCAATTACATAAATGTTTGTCTGGTAGATACTGTTCCACAGATCACTGATGTTCTGCTCATTCTTCCTCAATATTAATACTTTTCCCCCATCTATATATTTGTATATTTTCTATTGCTGTATCTTCAAGTTCACTGATCTCTTTTTTGCTGCAGTGCCTAATCAGCTAATAAGTTGAGTTTTTATTTTACATATGCATTTTTCAAGTCTAAAAATTACATTTGGTTAATTTTTATAACTTCTGTTTCTCTCCTCATCATGTTCATATTTTAAATCCTTGAGCATATACTTTTAAGGTCTTAAGTTTTTAATCTGCTAATCTTATCATCTCTTTTTTCCAAATCTGTTTCTACTGACTGAATATTCCTGTAGTTATATACATTTTTCTGTTTCTTTGTATGTCTAGAATGTGTTAAATTAATGCTGGATATTGTGGTGTTAAATTGTCAAGTGTCTGGACTTCCTTGTCTTTCTTTAAAGTGTGTTGAATTTTATTTTGGCAGTTGGTTAAATTACTTGTACATCAGCTTGGTTGTTTTGATCTTTATTTAAAAATTGGTTAGAGTGGGCTGAGCAGCCTTTACTCTGGGGCTTATTTAGACCTATTACTAAGATGTGATCATTTTAGGGTCTACACTTATTTTGGTGTCTTTCCACTCTGGATAACTGGAGTGAAAATATCTTCCAGCCTCACCTGAAGTAGGAGGATCACTTGAGTCCAGGAGTTCTTGGCTGTAGCGTTATGACAGTTGAGTTTCTGCACTAAGTTTGGCATCAGTATGGTGACCCCCCAGGAGTAGGGGACCACCTAGTTGCACAAGGTGAGATGAACCAGCCCAGGTTGGAAATGGAGTAGGTCAAAACTCCCAAGCTGATAAGTAGTGGGATGGCACCTGTGAATAGCCACTGCACTCCAGCCTGAGCAATATAGCAAGATCCCATCTCTAAAAATGAGAAAAAAAATAAAGAAGTAAATGCATAAGTTTAATAGCAATTGAACAAACAGAATATGGGGATAGAGAACCCTAAGACAGGTCACTGGAATATAACCACATTGAAGTAAATAGAGAAGAAAGAATGGAGAAAATAGAGTAGACGTGAGAAATGCTCAAAAGGTCTAACACATACAAATGGAAATAGAATCTGTGATGGTGTATTAGCTATTACTGCTTCATAACATGTCACTCCAAAATGTAATGGCTTAAGTTGACAACAATAATGTATCATCTCTCATGGTTTCTGTGGAAACTGCAGGAATTTAAAAGCAGCTTCATTGGGTTATGGTTCAGGCTATGTTATAGAGCTGCAGTTAGATGTTGACTGAGCCTGCAGTCATTTAACAGTCTGAATCCAGCTGGTGCTCAAAGATTCACCTCCAAGGTTCTTAAGTCACTTGGCTAGTGTACTAGTCCATTTTTATGCTGCTGATAAAGACATACCCAAGACTGGGCAATTTACAAAAGAAAGAGGTTTAATGGGATTTACAGTTCCATGTGGCTGTGGAAGCCTCCCAATCATGGCAGAAGGCAAGGAGGAGCAAGTTACATCTTACCTGGATGGTAGCAGGCAGAGAGAGGGAGCTTGTGCAGGGGAACTCCTCTTTTAAAAACCATCAGATCTGGATACTTATTCACTATCATGAGAACAGCATGGGAAAGACTTGTCCCCATGATTCAATTACCTCCCACTGGGTCCCTCCCACGACATGTGGGAACTCAAGATGAGATTTGGGTGGGGACACAGTCAAACCATATCATTCTACCTTTGGCCCCTCCCAAATCTTACATCCTTGTCCTCACATTTCAAAACCAATCATGCCTTCCCAACAGTCCCCTAAAGTCTTAACTCATTTCAGCATTAACTCAAAAGTCCACAGTCCAAAGTCTCATCTGAGAAAAGCCAAGTCCCTTCCACCAATGAGCCTGTAAAATCAAAAGCAGGTTAGTTACTTTCTAGGTACAGTGGGCAGGGGGTGGGGGGTACAGGCATTAGCCATTCCAAATGGGAGAAATTGGGCAAAGCAAAGGGGCTATGGACCCCATGCAAGTCTGAAATCCAGCAGGGGAGTACAATCTTAAAGTTCCAAAATGATCTCCTTTGACTCCATGTCTCACATTAGGGTCATGCTGATGCAAGAGGTGGTCTTGGGCAGCTCCGCTTCTGTGGCTTTGCAGGGTACGGCTTTCCTCCTGGCTGCTTTCACTGGCCGGTGTTGAGTGTCTGTGGCACTTCCAGGCACATGGTGCAAGCTGTTGGTGGATCTACCATTCTGGGGTCTGGAAGGCCGTGGCCCTCTTCTCACAGCTCTACTAGGTGTGTCCCAGTAGGGACTCTGTGTGGGGGCTCCAACCCCACAATTCCCTTCCCTCCCTAGCAGAGGTTCTCCATGAGGGCCCTGCCCCTGCAGCACATTTCTGCCTGGGCATCCAGGCATTCCCATACATCCTCTGAAATCTAGGCAGAGGTTCCCAAACCTCAGTTCTTGACTTCTGTGCACTCACAGGCTCAACAACATGTGGAAGTTGCCAAGACTTGGGGCTTGCACCCTCTGAAGCCACAACCCAAGCTCTACATTGTTCCCTTTCAGCCATGACTAGGGTGGCTGAGATGCAAGGCACCAAGTCCCTAAGCTGCATACAGGATGGGGACCCAGGGCCTGGCCCACAAAACCACATTTTCTTCCTAGTCCTCTGGGTCTGTAATGGGAAGAGCCGCTGTGAAGACCTCCGACATGTCCTGGAGACATTTTCTCCATTGTCTTGGAGATTAACATTAGGTTCCTAGTTACTTATGCACATTTCTGCAGCCAGTTGAATTTTACCTCAGAAAATGGGATTTTCTTTTCTATTGCATTGTCAGGCTGCAAATTTTCCAAACTTTTATACTCTGCTTCCCTTATAAAATTGAATGCCTTTAATAGCACCCAAGTCACCTCTTGAATGCTTTGCTGCTTAGAAATTTCTTCCACCAAATACCCTAAATCATCTCTCTCAAGTTCCAAGTTCCACAAATCTCTAGCACAGGGGCCAAATACTGCCAGTCTGTTTGCTAAAATGTAACAAGAGTCACCTTAGGGGGAAAGACTTGCCTCTATGATTCAATTACCACCCACCGGGTCCCTCCCACAACACTTGGGAATTCGAGATGAGATTTGGGTGGGTACACAGCCCCCAAATCATATCAGCTAGCAAGTTAATGCTAGCTATTGGTCCCTGTCCATGTGGGTCTTGGGATAGGCTTCCTTATGTGTCCTCATGACATGGCAGCTAGCTTCCACCATAGAGAATGATCCAAGAAATTAAGAAAAATTTGCAATGCTTTTTATAATCTAAGAAGCCATACATAATCAAACCCAGTGTTCTATTGGCCATGTGGATCAGCTTTGATTCCATGTGGGAGGGTGCTAACCAACAGCATGAATAACAAAGAGCAGTGTAGGCTGACTATGACACTCTGCTCTTTGATCCTCAATGATTCATATCCTTCCATCACACAAAATAAACTCACCCCCTCTTAAGTATCTCAAAAGACTTATCATATAATAGCATTACCCTAAGGCCCAGATCTCATCATCAACAGCATTACCCTGAAGCCCAGATGCAGTTGAAGCTCCTTGGTTGTTGTTCCTCAAGTGTAGCCTCTTAGAGTAGTTTCCCTTGATCTGAACACCTGTAAACAAAAGAGGCAAGTTTTACACTCCCAAATATCCAAATTACAATGGTAAGGCAGGCATAAGATAACCACTATGGACTCTTCCATTAAAAAAGGAGGAAATGAGAGGCAGACAGGACTCACTGGCACATAGAAATATTGAAATCGACCTGGGCACATGTTGCCAATTCATTTATTAAGACTCAAACCTATTACTGCCTAGAAATGATTCTCTATGGCACTTTAGGCCTACACTCTGGATTCTTAGTTCAGTTCCACCTCTAAATCATCTTTCCTTTTCCACAAATGATAATACATATTTACAGCTGAATAGTTTATCTCAGCCTTTTTCTTGACACTAGAAATTTGGGGTCTAAACACCTCTTGCCATTTTGTGCCGTCTTGATACCTTTTAGTTCATGTACTGTTACCATTAGCACAACTTTTTAAAATTTTGTGGTTCTCCTATGGATCTTATTAGCATTTACTCCATTAGAGATGAGCCACACCCACAATGTCTTTACTGGAAGCCCTCCTGAACCTTAGGCTTCCTCTGGGGCTACTGAAATAAACGTCTCCAAGATGCTTAGAAGCCTCAACATTTAACAGAGATCTGCAAAGAGCATCCTTCAAATTCTTATAGGACTTTTTATCTTACTAAACAGTTCCCTGAGACATTGCTTTAGGTTTCTTTACACTCTGAACAAAAGATTTTACAGTCATACCATCTGCTTCATCTTTAGATCATGTTTTTCCTGAGCGTGCCCTAGATTGATATATGCCTAAAAGTCATTTCTTAATTTTAGCATTGTTTTCCATCTGTAAATCTTGGAATAAGAAACAATTTTAATTTCAAACCCAACATGTTCTGCAATTTTAATTTCTTCACAGTTCTTCCTTTAGCTTTTCTTTCTGCTCTTGTATTTTACTATGAGCAGCAAGTAGAAGACAGGCGATACATTTAACACTCTGTGTTGATATCTTCTTAGCGAATTCTTCCAGTTCATTGAGCATATTTAAAATTTTCCATTCTACCCCACTCAACAATACAAATAAGCTTCCCATCAGTCAATAATATGTCCTCTTTTTTTCAGCTTGCAATAACATTTTCTTCACTTTTATTTAATTTCTCATCTTATATCCTCAATAAACAACATGCAGTTTCCATTAAATGTCCCAAATGACATTTAGGTTCCATTAATAACTTCCTCACAGTCTTTTCAGCTCTTCCCACCAAACTATCACCATATTTTTAGGTTTTTGTGATGTTGGCACCTCATTTTCAATTATCAAAATCTGTATTTATCTACTGTCGTGCAAAACAAAACAAAAAAGTCATCCCAAAGCATATTGGATCAAAACAACAAAAATAATTTTTTATTCTTATTAGTTTCTGTGGGTTAGGGATTCATTTTCAATATGGTTGGTACACTGTGGCTCAGGGTCTCACCTGAGATTGCAGCCAGATGTAGGCTAGAGCTGCAGTCATCTGAAGACTTGACTGGGGCTGTGGATTTTGTTATAAAGGCTCTCTTACAAAGCTGGCAAGTTGGTGCTGGATATTTTATCCTTTCTATAGTGGCCTCTGCATGAGGCTGTTTGAGTGTCCTCTCTATCTGGTGGCTCACTTCTCTCACAGTGAGAAATCCTAGAGAAAATGGGATGCTGCAACATCATTTATGATCTTCAGAAGTTAAACACCACCACTTCTGTAGAATCTATATTTACACAAGTCCACTCTAATTCAATGTGAAAGGAACTATACCAGGTTATGAGTACAAAGAGATGAGGATCAATGGGGACAATATTAGGGGATGGGAAATACAGATAAGGGTTTGTATGCAGAAATGTATTTGGACTTGTCAGCAGGGACAATACCTGTGAGGGAAAGAAGAAACCAACATTAGGCAGAAGGAAAAGTTTAACAGTGACCCCAGCCAAACCCCTGGAGAACTCCAAAACTGCAAAAGCTTTTCAGATGTGTCCTGAATTAAGGACAAATTTTATATACCTACATCAAGCAGTCATTGAATGTGGATTCTCCCTGGTGAGTTGCCCCAACCTTGAGCAAGCCATTATATTAATCTAATGGTGGTTCTTAGGAAGGGCACAAGCTCTGGGCTATCAGAATGCAATATTCTTGGCAAGAGAAGGAGTAAGTACTGTATACTTGAAAGACAGTCTTTGTGGTATACCACAGCAACCTCTACACAATGAAAGTTAGAAGAAAATTGATGAAATCTTTGGAAACTAAAATAAAATGGTTACTAATTTCAAATTCCATATTCAGTAAAAAAATATCTTTTACCAATGACAGGAAAATATGCATATTTTCAGACAAACAAAATTAAGGGATATTTTGATATAAGGTCCTCACTAAAAGTAAATTAAATAAATATCTTCAACCAGAAAGAAAACATTCCCAAATAGAAAGATAAAAATGCAGGAAGGGAATAAAGAACACCAGAAAGAGGAACTAAATGGTAAATATAAATGATCATTAATTATATAAAACAATAGTCATATGTGATCTGAGGTTTAAATTATGTGTAGAACAATTTCACAAAAGTGGCAGATAGGTAATAGTAAAGGTAACAATTTGTAATAGTTTATTATAAGTCAAGGCTATATATTTTGTATCTAGGAGAACTGCATAAATAGTTAATGACATATGATTACAAGATAATAGAAAATGTAAATAAAATAATCATTTAAAAAGTTTTCATTCTAAAAAGGGAAAGAAAAATAGAAAAAGAAGCATAAAAACACATGACCCCAATAGAAAATGAATAGCAAAAATGTATATATAAACTTAATAATGTCCGTAATTACATTAATTGTAAATGATCTAAATACACTGAGTAAAGTCTTATGGTGATCAGATTGGATTAAACAATAACAACTATATTGTGATCACAAGTCTTGCTTTAAATATAAAGACACAGAAAAGTAGACAATAAAAGAACCAAAAAAATGTCATGTGTGATGGTTAATTTTAGGTAATTTCCCATCAACCTTAATTACAAGCCATGGTAGTACTAAGAGATGCCCTAAGAGATCTCTTGTATTCCAGGCATACTTTCTTTACTTCTAGTGTGGAGTAATAGTCCAATTTCTCCTTGGTAGTCCGGATCAATCACTCCAGACTACCACAATTCGTAATTTCATAATTCCATAATTCCCTTCTTAGCCAGCTGACTCAGAGGCATCAGGAGCCCAAAGTGGCTGGGTGACAGTGTTAACTTCCAGTTTAATGGAATCATTGTGTCTCCTTGTGGCAACCTTCCTCCCTCTGGAACTAGGACCTGTAGACCAGCAGAGCATAAAGTTGTGAGAACAGGAAATATGCAAAGGCAGCATATTCATCCTCATTCGACTCTCCTATTTGGCTTGGGTAAAGACAGATGAATTCTGGAGAATGACTGCGAATTATAAGCTTAGCCAAGCAGTGACTTCAATTACAGTTGCTCTACCAGATGTGGTTCCATTGCTTAAGCCAATTAACACTTCTCTTGGTAACAATAGTATGCAGCTATTGATCTTGTAAATGTGTTTTTATCCATACCTGTCCATAAGGCTCATCAGAAGCAGTTTGCTTTCATTTGGCAAGGCCAGCAATACACCTTCACTGTCAGACTATGGGGGTATATCAACTCTCTAGTCTTATGTCATAATTTAGTTGGCAAGGATCTTGGTTGCATTTCCTTTCCACAAGATATCACACTGGTCCATTACACTGATGACACTGTGCTGATTGGACCTAGTAGTGAGCATGAACTAGCAACTACTCTGGACTTACTGGTAGCATATTTGTGTGTCAGACCATGGGAAATTAATTCTACTAAAATTCAGGCGCCTTTTACTTCAGTAAAATTTCTAGGGTCCAGTGGTGTGGGGCATGTCAAAATATCCCTTCTAAGGTGAAGGTTAAGTTGTTTCATTTGGCCCCTCCTAAAACAAAGAAAGAAGCACAATCCTAGTGGGCTTATTTGGATTTTGGAAGCAATACATTTCTTATTTGGATGCATTATCCTGGTCTATCTATTGAGTGACTAAAAAAACTGCAAGTTTGGAGTGGAACTCCAGGAGAAGGCTCTGTAGCCTCCTGGAGCAGCAGGAGCTTCAAGCTGCTATGAAAGCTGCTCTGCCACTTGGGCCAGATGATCCAGTAGATCTAATGGTACTTGAGGTGTCAGTGGCAGACAGGGATGCTGTCTGAAGCCTTTGGCAGACCCCTATAGGTAAACTGTAGTGGAGGCCTTTAGTCATTTTGAAGCAAGCCCCTGGCATCATCCCAGATAACTACTCTCCTGTTGAGAGACAGCTCTTGGCCTGCCACTGTACTTTAGAAGAAACAGAATGCTTGAACATGAGTTATCAAGTTACTACATGACCAGAGCTACCTATCTGGGTGTTATCTGGCCCACCAAACCATAAAGTTAGGTGTGCACAGCAGCACTCTATCATCAATTCGAAGTTGCATGTATGTGATGGGGCCTGAGCAGGTTCTGAAGGCACAAGTATGTTACATGAAGAAGTGGCCCAAAAACTCATGGTTTCTATTCTTACTACACAGCCTTTTTTCTCCCAGTCTACACCCATGTCCTCCTGGGAAGTACCCTGTGATCAGTTGACAGAGGAGGAGAAGACCAGGGCCTGGTTTATAGACAGTCCTGCATGATATGCAGTTACCACCTGAGAAGAGACAGCTGTAGCACTACATCCCCTCTCTGGGACATCTCTGAAGAAAAGTGGTGAAGAAAATTCTTCTCAATGGGCAGAACTTCACCTGATTGTACACTTTGTTTGAAAGCAGAAATGGCCATATATGCAATTGTATATTGACACACAGGTTGTAGCCAATAGTTTTGCCAGTTGGTCAGGGACTTGAAAGGAAGGGGATTGGAAAATCAGTAACAAGACATATAGGGCTAGATCTGAGTGGGCAAAAAAATATGGGAATATTTGTGTCCTATGTGAATGCTAACCTTCTCAGCAGAGGTCTTTAATTATCAGGTGAATAGGACGATCCATTCTGTAGATACTAGTCAATCTCTTTCCTCAGTCACTCCTGTCATAACACAGTGGACCTGTGAACAAAGTGGCCATGGTGGCAGGGATGGAGGTTATGCATGTGTATTAGTCTGTTCTCATGCTGCTAATAGAGACATACGAGAAACTGGGTAATTTACAAAGAAAAGAGGTTTAGTGGACTCACAGTTCTACGTGGCTGAAAGGCCTCACAATCATGGCAGAAGGCAAAGGAGAAGCAAAGGCACATCTGTCCTACATGGAGGCAGGCAAGAGGGAGCATGTGAAGGGAATTCCCCTTTATAAAGATCTTGTTAGACATCAGATCTTGTTAGACTTATTCACTATCATGAGAACAGCATGGGGAAAACCCATCCCCGTGATTCAATTACCTCCCACTGGGTCCCTCCCATGACATGTGACCATTATTACAATTCAAGGTGAGATTTGGGTGGGGACATAGAGCTAAACCATATCAGCATGGGTTCAGCAAAGTGACTTCCATTCACTAAGGCCAACTTGGCTATTGCCACCTGTGAGAGCTCAGTCTAACAGCAGAGACCAATACTGAGTCTCCAATATGGCATCATTTCCTGGGGTAAACAGTCAGCCCTCTGGTAGAAGGTTGATTACATTGAACTGCTTCCATCGTGGGGGGAAGCATTTTGTGCTTACTGGAATAGACAGTTACTCTGGACATAGATTTGCCTTCCCTGCACACAGTGCTTCTGCTGAAACTACCATCTGTGAATGCCTTATCTACTTTTATGGCATTCCACAGAGAGAGCACTGCTTCTGATTAAGGAACACTTCATAGACAAAGAAATGCAGAAAAGGCTCATACTCTTAGGACTCACTGTTCCTACCATGTTCCCCATCATCCTGAAGCAGTTGGCTTCACAGAAAAGTAGGATGGTCTTTTGATGTCACAGTTACAGTGCCAGCTAGGTTATAATATTTGGCAGGGCTCAGGCAAAGTTCTCCAGAAGGGTGTGTATTCCCCAAGTCAGCATTCACTATATGGTACAGTTTCTCTCACAGCCAAGATTCATGGGCCTAAGAATCAAGGGGTGAAAATGGGAATGGCACCACCCACCATTACCCCCAGTGACCCAGTGGCAAAATATTTGCTCCCTATTCCCATGACTTTATGCTCTGCTGGTCTACAGGTGTTAGTTCCAGAGCGAGGAATGCTGACACCAGGAGACACAACACTGATTTCAGTGAACTGGAAGTTTAGACTACCACCAAGCAACCTTGACCTCCTCATGACTGAGTCAACAGGCTAAGGGAGTTACGATGTTGGCTAGAGGAATGATTCAGACTACCAAGGGTAAATTGGTAGTCCTTACCTCTAGGAAGGTAAGGAAGGGTGGGATATAGGAGATCCTTTAGGGCATCTCTTATTACTATCATGCCCTGTGATTAAAGTGAATGGGAAATTACAGCAACCCAATACAGGCAGGACTATAAATGGTCCAGACCCTTCAGGAACAAAGGTTTGTGTCACCTCACCATGTAAATATCCACAACCAGCTGAGGAAATTGCTGAAGGCAAAGGGAATACAGAAGGGATAGTAAAAGAAGGTAGTTATCAAAACCAGCTATGACCATGTG